AGGCCGCTCCGCGCCGCCTCTTCCCGGTCTGTGGCGCCACCTGCTGGCCGTGCTCGGAAGGACACAGCGCTTTCCAGACCACCTGGCGCACATCAAGCACTGCTGGACACGTTGCCCTGCGGGTGCGGCCAGGTGTGTGGGATCGCGCCGTCGCTGCCTTCCTGGACTTGCGAGGCACAGAAAAAGATGCAACTTGTCCCCCGCGCTTGTTCAGAAAGAGGCTCTTTATTTGAGGACGTCTCCGCAGATCCTCAGAGAGAAGAGGACCAGTTTTGTTTTGCTATACCACGCATGCGCCCGCTGGAGAGCGAGAGACAGAGACAGAAAGCGAGAAATTGCCCCCCAGAGAGGATGGTCACGTTGCAATTCTTTCTCTTCTCAGGATTTTGGGCACGCTTGCAGATGCACCAAGAGTGACTTTCAAACCGTTGGGTCCAGGACTCGAACCACCATTGGCCACATAGGAGTCCAGCATCTTAACCATATGTCATCTACTGGCCCTACAGGGACGACTTAAAAGCAGCTTATGAACTGGTCGTGAAAGGAGCTTAGAGCTAATCCACACAGCAGGAACAGTATGTGCAACAGCTCTGGGGCTGGAGGGACTGTGGCAACTCGGAGGAAGTGAACTCACCGGTCCGGAAAACCAGAACACAGCGGGCACGAAGTAGGCAGAGACTAGATGCAACCCTCCGTCTAGAGGGTTCCCAGGTCAGCCTAGGCCAGTCACATCCGCTGTGGGTGTCCTACAACCCACTGTTCATTCACTCAAGGTACGATTTTTTTTTCTAGAGGTCTTTGCCTTAAGGCACCTATGCTCGTCAGAGAGAGACAGACAGTGAAAAGGAAAGTGATTACTTGCCCTCCTGGGGGATGGCCACGCCACAATCCCCTCTCCATTCTCCTCCCAGGATCTTGGGCGCACACACACACACACACACACACACACACACACAAGTGCCCAGCGTGATTTTTAAGCCACCAGGTTCAGGACTTGAACTGTAGTCAGCCATACGGGAGTCCAGCGACACAATCACTATGCCCTCAATGGACATTTTTTAGCAGCTATTTTGTGCCAAGAACTGTGCAGAGGGTTCCCAGGTCAGCCTAGGCCAGTCACATCCGCTGTGGGTGTCCTACAACCCACTGTTCATTCACTCAAGGTACGATTTTTTTTTCTAGAGGTCTTTGCCTTAAGGCACCTATGCTCGTCAGAGAGAGACAGACAGTGAAAAGGAAAGTGATTACTTGCCCTCCTGGGGGATGGCCACGCCACAATCCCCTCTCCATTCTCCTCCCAGGATCTTGGGCGCACACACACACACACACACACACACACACACACACAAGTGCCCAGCGTGATTTTTAAGCCACCAGGTTCAGGACTTGAACTGTAGTCAGCCATACGGGAGTCCAGCGACACAATCACTATGCCCTCAATGGACATTTTTTAGCAGCTATTTTGTGCCAAGAACTGTGCCAAGTACTAGCACATCATGGACATGAGAGTTCTTGAGATACCCCGGATTTCATGAGCACCTGGCCAGAGCAGGTTTCCTCTCTCAGGAACTCTTACAACCTCCAAGACAAAGATAAAGGAATGAATCTATAATGGTGGAAATTGGGGGCAAGCAGAGGCCCATAGAGGAGCTATCTGAGCACTCCTCAAAGCACACCACGGGGGTGACTCAGTCCCTATCCTCATCGAGCCCCAGTTTTTGTAGAAGGGAAAAACTGGACCAGAGAGGATTGAGTGAGGGTACGGAGCTGACCTCTACAGAGATGCCAGAACCCTAGGGGCAAGTTATGCTCAGAGGATGTGCCTCGGTGACAGGTGTGTATTCCAGCTCTCAAAACACACTTGCCGGAGCCAGGCTGATAGAGCAATGTGACCGACCACCATCCCGTTCACTATCATCATGCGGAATCACTCAGAACTTCCTCTGAACTAGCTCTCCAGTCGCCAATTTATTTTTTTAGTTTACTCATTTCTTCTGAGAGACAGAAGGAGAGAGAATGGCACCCCTAACCAGCTCTTCACACCACACTCCACCTCATCTCAGCCAGCCTGGATTGTGGGTGTGTGAACTTGCCGTGCTCAGAGAGGTTCTGGGATGTGAACTGAAGACCTTCCCATGTGGGTTCAGTGCCTTACCACTGCACCATCGCCTGGCTCCATTATTCATTGATTTTTTTAAGAGAGATTTTTGCTACAGGGCACATATGCTCGCCAGAGAGACTGAAAAAATCAGATGCCCACACTGTAATTCCTTCTCCATTCTCCTCTCAGGAGATACTCACACACCTAGAGTGCGTTTCAAGCTGCCAGTCCGGGACTCAAACCACGGTCAGCCACAAGGGAGTCCAGTGCTTTAACCACTAGGCCACCTCCTGGCTCCCCATCGTTCATTTATTAAACCAAAGGCCTATTAACCACCAAGTCTACTTGTTCCGGCATCGTGGTCTGGGACTGGAAAGCACAAAGCTGAAGACCACTCTGCAACAGCTCCTAGAAGGTGCATGCTGATGTTTAAACAAGTTATTTCAGCCTGCTGTGATAAGAGGCTGAAATGGAGGCCACTTCCCATTCTGAGGGAGCATGGGAGGCTGCAGGCCTCAACCTGCAAGGTCTTGAGAGAGGTGAAATGTGAGTCCAGGTTATCCATCCAGTCTGTCCACAGCTTCCCTGAGAGCGAGCCTAAGCTCCCTTAGAATGCGTGGTTCCTTAGAAATGCGAACTCAGGCGGTGCAGACAGGTGGCTTGGCGGTTAAGGGTGCTGGACTCCCTCATGGCCGGCTGAGGTTCGAGTCCTGGACCTGGTGACTTGCTTTGGATTCCTTATGCCACTGAATCAACAAGGGAAAGGGAGAGGGAGAGCTACCTTGCTGGCCGCAGTGACTGATCCTCATTACCAAGAGGAAGTTGAGTTGTTTCAACACGATGGTGGCAAGCACTGTGTCTAGCACCAAGGGGTGTTCTGGGAGCACGTTAGTATTTCCAGGCCACATAGTAAGGGCTCAGGGAAAACAGATGGCAACCCAAAAATGTAAGGTTGGCTGAGGACTGACCCTTTCAGAAACCTTCGGTCACTTCACCAAGTGAAGAGCCCAGCCCATGTTCCAGTCAGTGGAATAAAGCAGCATCAATATCAGGACCAGCAGTTAGTGTAATGGCTATGTCGCTGAACTCCCATGTAGTCGACCACGGTTCGCATCCCAAACCCGGTGGCTTAAAACTCACGCCAGGTGCATGTGTGTGCATGCCCAAGATCCCAAGAGGAGAATGGAGGAGAAGGGATTGCGGCGTGGCCATCCGGGTGATTTCTCGCTGTGTCTCCCTGTCTCTCTTTCTGTCTGGCGAGCGCATGCGCCCTATAGCAAAAACCTCTCCAAAGGAAAAAAAAAAAAAAAAGAAAGAAAGAAAAGAAGCATCAATATCAATTCCAGCCTCACGACTAGAGTTACAGAAATAAGGGTGCCATGGTTTCACATGTTTTATTTGCTTATTCTGTTTGTGCTTGTTTTTGGTATGTGCTTATTCTTACTCACTAAGCATTTTCTGCCATTTTGATTTTATGTAAGTTTTTAGAAGCTGATCTTACGGTTTAGTCTGTAGGGAACAGAATTCTCAGTGGGACCATGAATGAATTTCAGGATGACTTAAAGATTCTGGGATAGATACAAGGTCTCTTAGGACTTTGTATCTCCTTATTTTGGGGGGGGGGGAAAGGGTGAGAAATGAACTTATAGAAATCACAGCTGTGTCTTGTAATGTAGGAGTAAAACATGGTCTGATAGTTGGACATACTGGGTCGTCGGGAAAGCCATGACACATTTTTGCATATTAAAATATGCCACGACGTATCTGATGACCTAATAAATGAACATGCAAGGCCGGGTGCTCGCTTCAGCAACACATCTACTAAAATCAGAACGATACAGAGATTAGCATGGTCCCTGCACAAGGATGACATGCAAATTCATGAAGTGTTCCATATTTAAAAAAAAATAAAATGCAAGGCCGGGTCGTGGTAGGGTAGTAATACAACTGGACTCACATGGGAAAGGTCCTGTGTTGGTGTCCTAGGACCTCCCTGAGCACACCAGGCTCGTACAAGCCTATGGTCCAGGCTGGCTCGGACTCGGGGACGTGGATCCTGGTGTGTGGACCCGGTTAAGGGTACTGTTTCTGTCTCTCTCGAAATGAATCAACTTTTAAAATAAATAACTAAGAAACAGCCCCATAGCACAGTGGGTGAACCCTGTGCATAGGGAGCTGGATCCCACACAACTGACTGCAGCTGAAAGCCCAGCCCTGGTGCAACTGAAAAACGCACTGGCCTCGTGTATACATGAGTATATACAACTGTGTCCCATGTTTCAATCAATGACAGACAGCATCAATGACAGTGGTCCTATAAGATTTTAATAAGCTAGTCCATATAACCTAACTGGGTAGTAGGATGTACCATCTAAGTTTGTATACTTACCCTATGATGTTTGCACAACTACGAAATTGCCTAGACACATTTCTCAGAATGTATCCCATCATTAAGAAGTGCGTGACTCTGTGTGTGTGTGTGTGTACACCTATTTTCTTTGGAGAACACTGACTAATACACCACTCAGCAGATTTAGTGGTTTTTTTTTTTTTCTGTTATGAATAACCTACAGTTTATTTATCCACGCCCCTGCTAAGGGCAGTTGGCTTTTCATCATTACTGACATGTTGCCATGAACATCCTTTTTCATGTCTCTGTGGGAGTTTCTCAAGACCCAAGAGTGGAATCGCTGTACATCCCTCTGACCGAACATCTTCAACGCCACTGGATATTGCAAAATTCTTCTTCAAAGGGATTAAACAGCATACACTCTCACTATTCTAACAGTTCCTGTTTGCTCACATTCTAGCCAACACTTGAGGACAGTCAGATGTATTCATCTTTGCTGATGGAGTGGGTGTAAAATGATACCTCACCGTTTTCATGTGGTTTTCCTTAATGTGTTGAGCATCTTTTCATATTTGTTGGCAAATACCCCTGAATTGGGTATTTATAGATTTTGCCTAATTTTCTACTAGGTTATTTTGTGTTTTTCCTGTTGACTTTTAGTTCCTTGTATATGGTAGAGACTAATTTTTAGTCCACCTTGTGTGTTCCAAATTTTCTCCATAGTCGATCTTTTAGAATTTGACAGAAACTTTTCTGTATAGATTTTTTCATTACTAGTCGCAGATATGAGTTTCATTTCCTGTGTTCTTTTTAAAGAATCCCATCTCAATATCATAAAAATACTATGTGTACTTTTAATAGTTTAAGGTATGCTTTTCACATATAGGTCTTATTTTTCTTGGGCTAGAGCAGGGATAAAACTTGATCTTTTTTCACATGTGAGCTGGAAAGTGAGAAATCACCCTCTGTGGAGGATGGCCACACCACAATCCCTTCTTCTCCACCCACCTCAAAGGCACATGTGCCACAAGACTTTGAAGCCACCGGGTCCAAGACTCAAGTAGGGTCAGCCATGTGGGAGTGCAGTGACGTAACTGCTACGCCATCTGCTAGTCCCTGCCACATACTTTTAATAATTAGAATTTTGTAAGACTTTCTCTTTGGATTTCATCTTGACTAGTCTTGATTCTGGCTTTACAAAAGAATTCTGGAATTGGATTCATAATTAACACACACACTTTTGAAACTGATCCTGAAAGTGCATTTAAGTTATAAAATAACTGGGAAGATTCAACTTTGTTTTGATATTGAAGTTTCCTGTTGGCATTAGAAGGGTCATAACATACAGACCTGATAGATCAATGGCTTAACACATTTCTAGTTCATAAAGTCCCAACACAGGTCAGTTAGCCTTGCCCCATTTGCAGTTTACATCTTCTAGAATACATGGTTTCTAAGAAAACCAGTCAGGGAGAGAGAGGATAATGGGAGAGAAACATACCCCTCCCACTCACACCCACTGGCCAGCACTAATCATGTGGCACCAGCCTAGCTGCCAGGGGCCTGGGAAATGGATATTTGATAAAACCTACCTGTTCCCGTCACATGCTCTATCTATGAACTTTTTCAGTCTTTCTTAAATTACTGCTATTTTTTCATTGTCATTATAAATATTTTACTTACAGTATTTTTCATTTGTCTCTAATGGATAGAGACAGTATAGTTTTTTGTAATATAGATTACATATACAGCAAACTTACTGAAATCTTTTATTCTAGTAATTCTGTGTGAATTCTTCTGAAATTTCTATGTATATAAAAAATAGTGGGGAATGAATTTTTCTTCCTTTCAATTCCATTTGAAGTGGTTAAAAACCACTATTACAATGTTCAGTAGAGAACCCATTTTGTTTTGGTTTGGTTTGGTTTGGGTTTTTTTGTTTGTTTGTTTTTTGAGAGGTTTTTGCTATAGGGTGTAAGGGTGCATATGCTTGCTGGAGAGACAGAGAGACAAAAAGTGAGAAATCACCCCCCGGGGGGATAGCCATGCCATAATCTCTTCTCCTCCGTTCTCCTTTCGGGATTTTGGGCATGCACATAGACATGCTCGGCATGAATTTAAGCTGCCAGGTTGGGGACACAAACCATGGTTGACTAGGTGGGAATCCAGTAATGTAACCATTATGCCATCTGCTGATCTGAGACACCATTTTACGTATGGTTCCAAAGAAATGGATTTTAACATTTTGCAAAATTACATAAACTTTCCACCCCTCAGTGTTCTCATCCATATAAGGGGAAAAATGATAGCACCTTTCAAAGGGTTGTTTAAAGGGCTAAGTAACGTTAATATATGAAAAGTAGTTAGAACTATTTACTATCAATGACAGTGATATTAGTAAATATTATGTTCATTCTAAGAATCAAGGCAGATGCTCTTTATCAGATTAAGTCGCTTCTCACTTCTTACTAGCTTCCTAAGGAGGATTTTTAAATTCATAAATACATGTTGAAGTTTACAAAAGTCTGCTCTGTATCTGCTTGTATGCATAAAATTAATTACATTAATAGATCACCAGTGTTGCAGCATCCCGACAGTGCTCAGTTGGTAGTAAAATATTATTATTTGTTAACTCTATTCTGGATTCTCTGTGCAAATGTGTTCTGTAGGAGTTTTCCATCTGTGTTCCAAGTAAGAATACCATCATTCTTCTTCCTTTCGGATCCCCTCTCATCTCCTCTAGACATTTTCACCAGATCTCTTCCAATGAGAGAGTCCAGCCCTTGGCCTTCATATCTTCTCTTAGCATTCTCTCTCTTGGTTATGACCCAATAGCTTGACTCCAAAAGTCATCAAAGGTGGTCCTTAAGCCTAGGTTTCTATCCCAAATTTAGACCTGTACATTAAACTGCTGACTTAGTATCTCCATTTACTTATGTTTTAAATGAATTATTTAGTTTTTAAATTATCGTTATTTTAATTTGCTATCGGGCACATGCACTCAGCAGAGAGCAAGAGAGAGAAAGTAAGAAAGCAAGCTCTCAGGTCTGGGACTCAAACCACAGTCAGCCATGTGAGAGTCTAGTGCCTTAACCACACCACCTGCTGGCCCCAGCATCTCCACTTAAATGTCTATTGAGTGCCTCAAACTTCAAAGGATCAAAACCTAACTGTGGCTCATCATCCCCATCTCAATCTGATCTTCCTCGCATCATCCCCATCACATTAATTTGCCACTCCATTTTATCAGGTATTGAGGCTAAAAGCCTTGGAGTTAGCCTTGACTCCTGTCTCTATAGTCCCCAATCAACAGAGGAAGCAATGAAGAAGGGATTGCTGTGTGACCATGCCCCACGAGAAGAGCTCTCGCTCTCCTCTCTCCGAGTGCACCTGTACCAGAATAGGGGTAGGCTGGATAAGGAGTGACAGGCCGTGGCTCACCATCCCCTGCTCTACTGACCCAGTTGTGGGATGACCCAGCCCCTCCACCCATTAGCCTCTCATGGAGAAGCAAATTGCCAGTCCCTTGCTGAGGCTCCACATCTGTCTTAATCTTGCCAAGACTGTGATCTTGTTCTCTTGGCACTGCCTGGTTCATGAGAGTAGGTCACAAACCAGCAGAGGCATCCAAGGCCTCAATCACACCCACTAGACTTCAGATAGGATCAGCAGTTTTAGTCCAGGAGAGGCAAGAAGCCTGGAGTTGGGAGTTCAAGAGAAGGCAGCTCTTTGTGTAGGTTGTTGTGCTCCCACAATCCTGTTCCTTCTCCCTGACATCAGTGCCTTAGTAATGGTTGAGGCTTGCCTTGTGGCCCTAGCTATGTGGTTAATTTTTGCAAATGCTTAAAAAAGGATGTGTAGTCTCTAATTGTGGGGGGCCTATGAATGTCCATTAGATCTGAAATGTTAATTGTCTTTCTCATCTTCTATGTACTTACTTACTTTTTATCTGTTTCATCTCCCAATTAGTAAGAGAGGCATGTTAAAATCTCCCACTGTAATTGTAGATTTGGGCTACGTTAAGTGCACACAAGTTTAAAATTATTCCAGCTCCCTGGGACTCAAATCTTTTCACATTATGGTGTAAGCCTCTTTATTTCTGACAGTGCTATTTGCCTGGAGGTCTTTTTTGTCTGATAGTAATATAGCCTTACAAGCATGCTCTTAGTATTTGCCTGGCTTCTGTTTTCTCTATCCTTGTACTTCTCGTTTTTCTATGCCCTCACTGTATTAGTTGTATCTTTAAAAGAAAAAAAAAAATCATGTATAGCCTGTTACTGTTTATATTCTGCTATTAATAAACAATACTTTTTGTTGATATTACTGGCATATTCAAATTTATTGTAACTGCTGAAATGTTTGAATCTATTTCTAACATCTTAATTTTATACTTGTCATGGTCTGTTCATTCTTTTTTCTTAATATTCTACTAAATTGACAGTTTTCTTTATTTCATTTTTTGCCTTTTTGGGGAGTGAGAAGTTTTACGGAGGAGGACCTTTCAAAATTTCATGGACAATGCATATTATGAAAATATTATGCATGGATTTC